TGCTCAGTCACCCCTCTTCAGGCCAACCTAACATCACTGAAAATACACACTTCCCACCTCCCTAAAGCAAAGCTGCAGAGGAAAACAGGAGTCACTATCTGGACTTCAGCTTTCCATTTTCCTGGTCCCCTCACATGTATAATCAAATTAAACCTTCTCTAATCTTAAAACAGCAACAATCAGTGTAGAGAACTAGCACACGACTCACTCACATGAATACAGTGACATGTGAGAAGACAACTTGCGTCTGTGATTGAATTCTGTTTTCTCTGGTTGCATTGCTGCTTCTTAGACATAATCTTACGCAGCTGCAATGCAGAAAGAAAAAAGAGGAGGACAGGAGGAGGAAATGAGCATTTGACACTTCTACAGAAAGCTTCAGGGCACCCCAGGTGGACACTGAAAGGTGCAAAGATCACACCTGTGGGCACACATGGAACAGCAGGGATGGCACAGCAGCACTCTCCTCTGTCAGACCTCCGTCCTCACAGTTCTGCAAGCCCCACAGCTGAGCCTGCCACTCATTTACCAACCACTTATTCTGATGAGCTGGCTGTGGTTTGTATTACTGAAACTAAAAGTCTCCAAAGCCTTACCTCTACAACCAGTGACACCACACAGTGCACTCACACCACCTGTAACACATAGCTGAACTGATCAGACATGTAACCTTCCCTTTCATCACCTACATCCTACAAGCCAGACATTCATTTTTAACTGCCCAACCAATGGAAAGGAAGTGACAGAACTCACCTAGATACCAGCCCTACACTTCTTCACATCTAGCATAACTGGACAGGCAAGGAAGGCCACCACCAGCAGCCTTTGGCTGAGCACAGCAGAACTTACTCACATATATACCTTAAGAAAAACCAAGATGCCTCCTTCCAGATAGTAAACTGCTGCTTTCCCAGTTCTCCTTTGTCTCAGCACTAGGAGACACCCTCCTACTTTCCATGTGCACACATGTAACTATGCCGCACATGCCCTTATGACTGGCCTTCTATGTACCTATTTACCACCTTCATGCTCAAATGCAGGCTAAAAGACCTTCACACAACACTCACCTACCAAAACACCAGGAACATGCACTATTTGAACCTTCCATCACCACAAACAAGTTCCAAATTACAACATGTGGTTACCAACAAGTACACCAATGCAGTCAATTGCAGGAAAAGCTAGATAGCAAAGTTGGGTTTTTTTCAGACACTGGATTGCATAAAACTACACTGTGGTCCACATGAAGGATTTAAACTAGTGTCATCTGGCTTACCAGTAACTAGCTTTTGTATTTACTTGAGTACTTCAAATTAAATGCCTGCATTACTTCCTATGACAGGCCTATTCTACCAGTTCATTAGATGACACACGTTAGAGAAAACACATTTGCTGCCTTCACTCTTCTGCTCTTAATCCTGGCTAGTTCACCTTGTGCCCAGCAGCAGGCTGATTCACGTTATGTCAAATCCTGTGTTTAATGAACATTGTCATTTTGAGTTTGCTTTTTCACAACAGTAGAAAAAGGACTAAGGAATAGTGAGATACGCTAAAGGTATTACCTTTACTCTGGAACTGGTCTTTCAGTCCCTCATCTGAGTTCCTGGAATTCAGTTCTTTTCACCTCAAAACAGGCTCTAATTACCATCATAAAAGAAGCCTCCCTGATGGATGAGTTGTTGGAACCCCAGCTTCATTAGTACAACCAAGAAAAGCAGTATTTGTGGGTTATGGGCTGGGGAGGGGCTGCCGGCAAACGCAGCGACATGCTTACCGGTCTGTCTGGAGAACGTGGATGAGATGTTCCATCGCCTGCGTGCCCACCTCCAACCGGTACTTCTGTTTGGAAAAAAACTGAGTAGTTAGTGGTCTAGCCTAAAGCCCAAACGTGGCTTTGAAAAAACTCATCACAACATTACTACAAACCCCCTTGGCTCTTCAGGACCCTGGGAGCTTACCTTGGATAAAGATTTAAGAGCACGGACGGCATCCCTTCGGTCATCCAGTAACGTGGAAGAAGCTACACGGTCACACAGCTTCTGGATCTGGAAACGCACCGGGCGCAGGTGAACACAGACAAGGTCCCACTACCACAGCCCGGCTTGTCACCGCCCGGGAGAGCTGCCGAACTCCACACGGACCCACGAGTCCCGCTCCCCGCGTAGACAGGTGTCACGGCCCGACCCGGCCCCGTCCCAAACCGTCGCCACAAGCAGCCGGGAGGCTCCCTGCGCGACCCCGATCCTCCCTCCCGGTCAGGCCCCGTCGGGCCGCGCGCGCCCCGCTCACCGTCTCGGCACCGGAGGGCTGTGGCCCAGCGCTAGGGCCACCCATGACGCCCCACAAGAAGCTCATGGCTGCGCGGCGAGGCTCGGCTCGGCTCGGCTGGGCCTTCGGAGCCCGGCCCGCTCCCCTCCTGCCCCAGGCCCACCGCTCCTGGACAATCCGCCGCCGCTGCCCCCGCGGCGGAAGCAGCCACCGCGCCTGCGCCGAGACGTGGCGGCGACGTGGCCGGCGGGCCGCAGCCACTAGGCACCGCCCAGGCCCGGGCCCGCCACCGCGGGTGTCGGTACAGTCCCGGGAGCTCGCCCTGCCAGCCGCCGCGGACCAAAGCCCGTCCCCTCCGTAATTACTAGCTTTATTAGGCCTTTGAAGTAGAAGAGGAGGAAGCTCAGCCTTCACTCCCCGAGTCACCCCAGCTGACAGCGCGCTCTGCCGTCACTGCTTGCTTTCTCAGTAGAGGGAAAAATAAGCAATAGTGTGACGACCAGGGCACCTCGCACAGAGTTCTGTATTTCTTTCAGACCAAGCAACAGATCCGCAGGGGCCAGGGGCAGGAACCTGCCTCAAAACTACCCCTGTAACCCATTACCCACGGCATCTCGGGGTCTGTCTGTCCAGAACAACCCCAAGACAAACCCTAAGGCTTGGAAATCAGAAACAGTCCTAGAGCAGAGGACTAAGCAGGTATGTTTTTTTTTTCAGAGGCTGAACTGCTGCAGCACTCACTCTCCCTGCTCAAGAACTACAGCCACGAATCAGCACTCCCAGCACTCCCAGCTGGCCCAGCCCTCCTCACGGAGACCCACAGGATTTTCAGTTTGGTACAGTTTTCTTAAGTTCCTTCCCACCCCCCCCCCCCCATCTCAAATTAGAGCCATTTTTATAGCAACAATAGCAAAATAAGCCAGAAATTGCTACACAAAGGCACTCACCTGACTCAGGACTAAAACCAGTTTGTTCCATTCCAGGTAGAAAACCCTTCTCGCACTGTGATTTAAATTAGGAGCTTTGGGAATTTTATTTTCCCTAGTAACTAAACAATGAAATCAATATTTTAAATTAAAATACATAATTGAAAAGTAATAATTTTCTCTTTCCATGTTCAAAAACTATTCATTTTCTCTCCCATATAACAACAGACATAAAAAAAAAAATCTCTAAAAAGATGGGCAATCACAGCAGTCATTGCAGAACAGGCTTTTGTCAGACCATTGTTCATTTCTAACTACTTGTCACATCAACAACACAGCCCTGAGCACTTCATCCTTCAGCAGCTGCAGCAAACCCTTCAACCTAATTACATGAAGATGCAGAGCTACCACATCTCCTCTCTGCAATACCTCAACCCCTGCAAACTCAGCTCTCTGCTGCCTTGCTTTCCCCCTTTGAGGAAAGCACCTTTGCTAGGCAGCTGCCTTCTCCCATAACAGGCCAGAAGACCCAGAGTTTGAACCCCCATCTGCAAAGCACAGAGTGCCACCAGGAGCCTGCTGGGATTCTCCCTCTCCCCTGACCCTGGTTTTCCCCACATAGACACCACCTACCAAACAGCCCAGAAGGGTTCCTACCTCACTGCACAGCCTTCATTGAGGTTTACTGGCCAAATAACTAGATGCAATCACAGCCAAGTCCCGCTTGGTGAGCACCAGCAGGGGCAAGCCAGCCTCAGTTGCAGTACACACACCTAATGCTGACTGTGCCAGCTACCCCACAGCACAGAACCTGGACTGGCCCAGTAAAAGAAACACGGGTTTTTCATTGACGAAAAGATCTCCTCCTAATCCAACAAGCCTTGGACACCATAAGGGTTAAGGAAGGCTTCCACTTCCCAGCAGAGAGCACTGGGCAAGTACAGGCACATAGCAGAACTCATCGGCAATGCTCAAGTGAGCCATGAGGAGGAAAACCAGGTTCTTTTCCACAGAGTTCTTTACTCCAAAGTACTTTGTATATCCATCCTGACCTGTACAGCCTCAGGGACAGAAAGTGATTTGCTTCTGAGAAAGACATTTGAGGCACAACTGCTAAAGACATCTGAGGTGGGGATGCCAGCGTCTGCTCAAACACGGGGTTTGGAAACATGATACACTCCAAAGTCCAGCTCCTGCCACTATGGAGAGGGATTGTTTGATTTTTGACCAACAACTATTGATTACTTCAGGCCTCAGCGTAACTCCAAAGACTGCTCTGGTTCAGTGAGGAGCTCTGAAGCTCCTAGTTACACGTGCGGGAAACTCCGCACTATGACACCTGCATTACACCAACACTGACCATCCTTGCTTTTTAGGTTGCTGGAGAACACTCCGAAGCAAGACACCATCCCGGGTGAGCAGAAGCCGCGCTGCGGCAGCGGAAGGAGCCAGAACCCCTGTAACATCCATCCCCCCACCCCCCCCCCCGAGCTCGCTGACATCCCTCCTCATCAAAGGACCCCAGCGCCCTGCCCCACTCTTGTCCGAGGACAGCCGTCCGCACAACAGCTCTTCCCATAGCAGGAGGGGGAAAACAAAGACCTCGGGAGTCCCATGACCCCCAGGTGCGGGACAAGACAACAGGTATCCTCCGCTCGTTGTTGCTGGCGTCACTACCCTCCTCGGCGACACGCCGCAAGGCGACGGGAACGCAACGCTCCCGCAGACATCACTACGCCAGGGCGGCGGAGATTGGAGGAGAGAGCCCTGAGGAGCCCCGCCCCGCTCTCTCACTTCGACGCAGGCGCGCGCGTGCACGCACGCACAGGCACGCGCGCGCGGTAACCCCCCGCCGCCCCTCCCCCGCCCGGCCGTGACACCGCCGCACCCCGCTCGCCCCGTCCTACCGCCGCCGCGGGACGAGTTGAGGGACAGGGTCGCCGCGCCCGATACCGAGCAGGTCCTGGGGGGAGACACACGTGCACGGCCCCGCGCACCGAGGCTTTTCTCTTTCCCTTAGGTGAGCGATGTGGAATCGGGGCTAGGCCCCGCCAATTGCGGGAGGAAGCGTGTGGGGGGAGAAGGACAGTTTAACGGTCGCGGCTCTGAGGGGAGCGGCCAGCGCCGGGAGGCAGCGCCCCGGGGCCTGGCTTTTGCCCTTCGCTGGCTGCCCTTCCCGTCTCGGCTGCTGGCTCCCGGCCCGGCTCCCCGGCCGGAGGGGCGCGGGGAGTGCGGGGCTGACGGCTGCTTTTGTTCGCCGTCACCTTGGCGGCGCCGTGCCGCCTGTCCGCGGTCGCGGTTCCGCCTCGCTCTCTGGAGGAGGCCGCGGGAGAAGCGGCCCTTGGAAGCCTCTTCAGGCGCAGCCCCCCGAGCCCTGCGTTACTTGGCCGCAAATGCGGCGTTCTGGTCCGCGCTCGCCTCCCCCAGCTCGGATCACGCCTGGCCTTCCTGGGGCCTCTAGAGGTGTCTGCGTTGGGCATGTGCAGGATGCCTCTTCCTCTGTCTCGCCGGCACTGCAGAAGCGAGCGTAGCTGCCCACCCTCGGCTCAGCTCGCCCTCCTTTTCTCTCCCGAATCGGTACTGCGGTGGCATCACTGGCTCGGAGATCTCCAGTTCTGCAGACCTCGCCTCTTTCTGCTTCCTCTCCCCTAGTCACAACCTGAGCTTCTCCCTTTTCATAGGTAACATGGCTGAAGTTGCTGCAAGCACCTTTTATTATGCAGATCTGGATGTCTTGAGCTTCCCTTGTTTTCTGAGCTGAGCTTAGCATGTTCTGAGGCTTTTGCTCCTCTTAACCTCAGAGGGCTCAAGTAGAGGTCATTGTAGCTCCATTGTGGGCGCACAGGAGCATCCCCACTATAAAGCTGTTAAATCCTGTGGTTCATTGGGTGGCGTTGGATCTTGAACTTTGTGCCAAGCATCACCATTGGAAGAACCAATGCAGAAGAGTGAGATTGTTTGATTCCAACCAGATTGACTTCGTTGTGTAGCTTTTGTTGTGGCCTTCCATGTTGGTTGGCAGTTTCCTGGCCCTACATGGATGTTCTAGACCTTTCAAGCTCAGTGTGCAAGTATTCTGCTTTGTTATAGAAAGACGTGTAAAGATACCAAAGGTATTTTTGAACTGTTGAGAAATTGAGTTATTTTGTTCCTTGCTCTGTTCCTGAGCAGGTAGATTACTTATACACAACCTGGATGTTTAATGCCAGCATGTTATTCTTTGGTCTGCGATGGCATGGAGGAGTAAGAGGGGAAAGATATCTTCTCTTGCTAGGCATTTATTTGTTACATAAAGGACTCTGCTGTTTCAGATTTTTTGTGTTTGTTTGTGGGGTTCCCCCCCCCCCCCCAATTTCTCTCATGGACACTTGTAATTAGGGAGTAGTAGCAGAATGAAGATCGGTGATCAACTTACTCTGTTGGCCCATGCAGCACAGGCTGTGTCCTGCGCAGTGTTGTGTGGTTTCCCCTGAAGTAATGTGGAGCTGCTGTGCATGCCCGAGCTCCTGAAGGTAGTGCAGCTGTCTTGTCAAAGCCCTGCCAATGGGTGCAGGGCTTGTCTATTTGTATTTGGAGCAGAGAAGGTGATTTAGCTTCTGCAGATAACTTACCATGAATGAGGCATTCTGTGTTCATTGTGATTGTAAGTACCTACCCTAGGAAAGTGTTTTCCTGCTTAAGGGTTCCTTCTGATTGTGGACTCTGATAGCTAGGGTGTACTGGAACAATATTGATCGACCATCTGAAATACTGTTGTAATGGCAGATGTGGGCTTTGCCTTGTGGAATGATAATCTGTATCATATGTTTTTTTTTCATTGGTGAAGAAGATATTTTCTGAGGTAGCTAACTCAAACTGAAGAGACAACAGAATGAGCCAACCGTCCAGTTTACTTATCTGATGGTTTTCCTGCTGAATAAAAATGTTGTCCTTTCTGGAACTGAGGTTTCAAATTATACATTTGTTCTTACACTTAAAGACTGCTTTACATCATGGAAAAGATGCTGAGGAAACACAGTATCTTAACAGAGTGTTGAATTTGAGCATTCCTTCTTACTGTAGCAGTTGTAACACTGGATGTCATCTCTTTTAAGAGTATTTGACAAATGAAGAACTGCATTGCAACTCAAAGAACATGTGAGAAGATTAATATGTCAGATTAATAGATATCTCTCGTGAGCTACCAGGAGAAAGGTGCTGAGGCTGGCATTTGATGAGAGAGAGAGAGAGAGGTGCAGTGCCTATCCCAGCATCTGTGGTGCTGTTGCTGCTGTTACTGCTGTTCGGGTGGTGTTAGCTCTTTAGATGGCACAGTTTAACTGCCCGAAAGATGGTCCCCTGTAGTAGTCATGCCCCTAAAATAATACGGAGGGCTTTTGAGCTCCTATCAAAAACAAACAAACAACATACCCTGAAGGACAGCTTGATTTGAAATAACTGCATGCTGCTGCCTTGAGGTGCGGTCAGTTCAGACTGTAGCAGATTAGGGAAAGATCTTAAAGTAAAGGGATTGTAGTAGGTTATACAGGCTCAGTGGCCCTTACTGCTGATGGAGGAAGAATGCGAATGCTCATCTTGCAGAGCATGAAAGAGAGAAGGTGGTTTCAGTACTGAGCCAGGTTGTTTGAAACTTTTGATTGCCGTTTCAGTATTTTTTCATTTCAGTCAATGCTAATTTTACTTTACCATGGAGTACCCACAGCCTTTACAGGGCTGGAGTGTCAGTTGCCATTTGGACTTCTAGCTTTACTCAAAGAGTGGCTGCTCACACCATGTATTGCAGTGGTGGGGGCTCAGAGCTATGCTATGGACCCTGGTAGCAGGCACGGTCTTCAGGGCATTATTTGCTTGTCTGCAGTAGGAATTGCAGTTTCAAAGTGATAATCTGATCTAGGAGAAACCCATCCGAGATTGTGAGATCTCCTCTCCCCTTCCCTTCTGTTTTCCCTCTGCTCCTGTGTTGTAGGAAGTATCACAGTATTCCTTGTGGCTTTGCTTTGTGTGCTCACTGCATGGGGAGCATCCTTATGATTTGCAAGAGCATTTTGCCTAATTTTCTGTTCTGTTTGGATGGTATATTCAAATCTAATCAGCGACTGGGACACAAGTTGCAGACTTGTAGATTTAAGAACAAGCCACACTGTTGCACATTTGTGTAAAACTAGCTCGATATCTGTGTGCCTTCAGTCATGAGCAAATTGTTCTATGGAAGAGTTGTTTAAACCAAAAACAGTTGCTTACAGGTTTTTAGTAGACAAATGATGAGGTCTGCATCTCCCTCCCAAAGCTTAAAAGTTTGTCTGGTTTGAGGTTTCTTCATGTTCGGATGACACCTTCCTGAACGTGAGCTCCTGACAGAAATTAGTTCATGTTTTGATTATTTATGAAGTAGAATTGATGAAGCATCCAGGCAGTGTCACTGTTGCTGGTCTGTCTTGAAGCAGGATGGAGATGGTTTTGAACTGCCTCTTTTGGCATCAGAGACTTGGTGCCAGTTTGTTCTCTGGGTACCGAATTTGAGCACATGTGCCATTCTGTGACCTTGCCACAGATGACTAGTCACACTTGTATTTTCTGCAGAATAAGGGGAATAATAACAAGAAATCTTGCATATATTTTATGCAAAAAAAAACTTCTCTAATGCGAGAGCTGCTGCTTGAACAAGATGCATACCAGTGAACACTGCAACTACTCAGTGTGTAGTGGCCTTCAGTACTTTTTCAGAAGCAATAGCTGTGGCCCCCCCATGTAATCTGATAGGTGGCAGTTTTACCTTGGTTTGTTGTGAGGTTTTTTTGTTGTTTGGTTGGGCTTTTTTTAATTTAGTTGAAAAAGTGACAAACACAGTTTAATAAATAATAAGTAAAATACCCTTCCGTCTTTTATTCATTTGCTTATCTTTGCATGCAAATAAAAAATTTCTTTCTCTCCTAACTCTCCCATTGTTTTTCTTTTCTGGAAAGATGGAAATAAATCAAAATTTGAACTTGGTTGTTTGAGATAACAGTTACAAACTTACTCAGTCCCATCTGTGTGCTTTATGTTATGAATTTGAGTCATGCCAATCAAAGTTATCAGAAGCATAGCACTGGTGTGTGTGCATGTTCCCTTAGTGGTAGAGTCTGGTCCTTGGGGTGGGTGCCTTTAGGTCCCTTACCTCTTAATCTGGTCCAGAGGAGAAAGAGATTCCATGTTTTGTTTAGTCTTCCAGCTTGCGAGTCTATTACAAAACAGGTGGTGTGGCTGCTGGTTCTTCTTGGTTCAAGAATGCACTGCAAACCCCATATGCCTTCATGGTGGCACAAGAATTAGAATTACTGAATAAGGTGGGAATTGCATCTTGTCAATTAATCGTTAGGTCAGTTGGATGTAGGCAGGATTACCGGTGGATGAGCGGAGTCGCATGGATGCTCGTGTTCCCCTGTCTGTGTAGCTTACGGCCCTATCAGGGTGCATGAAGGAGTGAGGTTCTTGAGCAGTGCAGTCGCACCATAGAGAAACTAGCTTATTTATTTGTTGAATTTCTGATGCTTGCCACTTCAGTTTTGGTGTTTCTGGCTTGTATGTACACGTATACCTTGAGCAGTAAGTTCTAATGAAGACACTTTCCCAAGGGCTGCTCAGGCTGATCTGAGAATGTAGCTCATTTCATTCAAATGAGAAGAGCACTCAGATTCTTTTTAGCTGTTACTCCTGGACTCTTGAGCATATACCAATGAAAATTGGAAAAATGGCTTTTATGGAGTAAAATGGCGTAAATTTCGCTGGTTCCTTTATCTCTAAACACCCCTTGGGCTTGCTAAGATTTGGGTCCTTGACTTTAAGGCGATGCTATACTAACTGGGACACGTGGAAGTTTTCATCTTCCTGAAACCTGGTTTCATGGCACTCATGTTGATAGCAAGGAGTACCCACATTTTTATTTTACTGCCTTTTAATGACTCGGAGACTTGAACAGTTCATTAAGCTTCTGCTACCCCTACTGAGATCTCTGAAGAGATAATGAAAGGAAATAATACTGAGACAGGTGAAGAATTGTATTGAGACATCATACTGTAAAACACTCATTCTGTGATGTAAATCAATAGAGCTGTCACTTGAAATATGGGCAGAGGTAGATGGTGCTTTTCTCTTAGAGCAGCCAACTGCTTGAAACAGCCAGCTGCTGTTTGAGATGCTTAGGGAAGAATTGGCTGTGTGTGCTTGCCTTTCTCTGATTTTTCTGAAAGGTTTCCGAAAGGTTTCAGCAACCTTTTCTGGAATAGGACAGCTTCCAATGAGGAAAAGATTTAGAGTGATACAGATCCGATGTAGTGTAATGACTTGTCACAAATTATTGTTTTGTACGCAGAGGCATTTTCAGTGTTTCTTATGGCATGCCAGCAATTTGTTACCATATGTACTTTGCTTATTGCTGTAGTCAAAAGAATGTGTACTGGCTCTGATCTGCTTTTTAATCGGTTCTTCAAAAACCAAATGTGATGAAGCTCCATCCTTGTGTTCTTACAAGTGCTTGTTGTGAAGATCATATTTTGTATTGTGCTTTTGGGGCAGGGGAGAAAAGAAAAAAAAAGAATATCTCACTGGGAGAAACAGGTCCTTTTGTTAAGTTTTTCTGACTAAAATTCTCGCATGCCATTGCTGTAGTATGAGTCATGTTGGGAAGATCCCTGAACTGGTCATCTCTGAGGAATCAAAGTTTCCCTTCCCAGTCTTCAGGAAATGTGAATCCAGCCCACACAATTACTTCAGAATATTGACACTACCATCTTTGTTACAGATGTCACAAGCAGATGTGCTTGAGATAAGCGTGTTACTGGCTGACCCAAGAAAGTGTATTCCTGCTTGTTTTGCAGTGCTCTTCAACTTGGATTTTTAATTGTGTGCATCAGTTTATTGCCAAAGGCTTAAATAAATGATGCTAGAGGTTTTCAACAGGCTTTTTGTTTGTTTATTTGGGCATTTTAAGTACCTGTTTGTAAGGGACTTTGTATCTACTGTTCCTTCTTTGTCAGAGTAATGCGTAAATAGACCAAGAATCTTTTTATTTACTCAAAAGAGGTTGGGGAACGTGTTCTGAATTTGTGGAGTAGTTCTGTGTGAATTAACGTCCTGTTCAGAGTGTTTCAATTCTACTATCATCATGCTCATCCTTTTACAGGGAAGTTGTGATATATAGGGCTGTCTCCAAACTAACATGAATATTTTTTAATTGCAGCGTTTGACACTGTGTACCAAAGAAATGGTGATGGAGAAGCCAAGTCCCCTGCTCGTAGGGCGGGAGTTCGTGAGACAGTACTACACTCTGCTAAATAAAGCTCCTGACTTCTTGCACAGGTGATACTTTCACTCACAAAGTAACTAATGTTTTTGAACAAAAGTGTACTTTGTACATGTACTGTTGATTGTAAATCAGATAAACATTAAATTCCGAGTATGGGAAGAAATGGACCAGGCTAACTTTTGGAAAACCATTCAATTTTACTGAAAACTCCTTAGACTCTACAACCAAGTCTGATCACATGGCATGGTATCAAGGTATTTCCTGTGTGGAAAAGTGAGCTGCTTCTCAGATGATAAAATGGTAATGTGGACATATTCCAGAAATACTTGTCTAAAAAGATGGAAAAGGAAAAGAAAATGGCAGAGGAAGCATGGGCATGAGATAAACCTGCTCATTATTTCAGGGTACCAAATTGTGTGTTGCCTCTGAGAAGTTTTTATGCAGATTGTGATTGGAGATTTAAGTATAAATGTCATGGCCTAGACACAAGGTAGTACAGTAATACAGTAGGCTTTTTTTACCCTTGTCCACTATTTAACTGGTACTCTGAATGTACTTCTTAGTTCCTTTTTTCTCCCCTCTTTTTTTTTTTTATTTCCTTCTTTTTCTGGTTTTGATTGGCTGCACACAGCTTGTCAGTTAAGATTTTGCATTTCTGCATTTGGTCTTAGAGCAGCATGGATGTAATGAATAAGGACAAAACTCACTGCTTGGGTTGTCTTGTCTCAGAACTTGAGCTAAGGTTGATGGTGAAAAATTGGACTGTTTGAGCAGGAGGTGGCTTACTTAAGAATTCAGTCTTCAGACTAATGCCTCTTCTCATCTATAGCTCTGAGGTAGGGAAAACGAATGGTATTTTTACTTAAATCACTGGACTGCCATGGAACCATGTTCTTTTCTGTGTTTAAATCTATTTTTAAGGTGTCTGAGAGTGTATTCCGTGCTTTCCTAATCTATGTTTAGTAATCTAACAGAAGGTAAAAGCAGGATCTTGAGCAATTGTAGAATTTTTCCCTGCCCTCAAAACTTCCACGAGTCAGATGAGATTAGCATGGGCAGAACATGGACAGGTATGTCCATGTAGCACATCGATACCGGATACACAAACTAGCAGCTTACTCTTACCCAAGAACTGTGTTCCTTAGGGACATCACATGCTCTGGGTATTTTGCCTTGGAGTTAGCTTCTGAGGCAGTGCTGAGGCAGGTCTGTCAGTAAGTCACCATCTTGTTGACATGTGTAACTGTCCACTACCTGTAAAGCTCAAGCAGCTGAAATTCCTTTAAGAGACTTAGAAAGGGCTTGACTGTACCAGATTTTCAAGGCAGGAATTATGATGGGAGTAAATGATGTGCTGGAAATCCTGATACCAGAACATCAGGATCATTTTTGAATGATATAAAAGCCCAAGTTAGTAAGATAAGTTTCTTGTGGAGTGTGCTGTCATTTTGCTCTGAGACCCAGCAATTGTGTGCATAAGCAAAGAGGCAAAGAAGAGTTGATATGAGATGATAAGGCCATGCTTCACAGCTTAATACTAAAGGCGGGGGAAAATTATGTCAGTTCTACAGTGAGATTGTCTTTTCCTTCTGTAACGGTTATTTTCAGTCGCAGTTACACTGTATATTATAGTAAGTCACCCATGCCTCAGACTCAGTGTTGAAAATAGTCTTTGATTGTGCTCGTAAGTGCATTTACCTGTAGTGATAGTAACTGTAAGCTTGACAGAATTTGGTGGGGGGGGGTGGTTGATTTGATTTAAGAAGCAAAACACTGTCGGTATGTGTGTTTCCTCCCTAACTGCTTCAATCAAAGAAGACGAGCTAGCTGACACATGCAGTGGGAATATTATGGAGCTGGTGTTCCTGGCATATTTGGGATGTGAACTGGTTTTTCCAGATAGGGGTGATAGGAGATTGGCAGAAGTGTACGTATGAGGAAAACTGGTGTCTGGGGGACATTTGGCCTGTTGAAGACAACTTTGGTGCTTTATGGGAGGTACTGGGTATTACTCCTACCCTTTTAAATCTCAAGCTTTACTTCAACAACTCTGAAATATAGCATTCCATATTATGCTCTGTGTGTGGTACATTGACTGGGAATGGGGAATTTTTCATAGAAGTTACCTTCTTGCAGGAATTCTGTTTTCATTAAGGGCTCCAAAAATGTTACAGACTTTTTTACAAATTTCTCTTAAATACATCTGCACAGAAGTGTCCTAGAGGTTCTGATCTGGTTTGATTGAATCAGAGCTGATTCTTGAACTGCTTGTGTGAAATGTCTTCTAGCCAATTTCAGCCTGTGTCACTGCTGTCCTTCTTTGGGGCTGCAGCTATAGCTTTTTTTTTATAGTCAGGCTCGAATACAGAGGACATTTGCCTTTTGGTTCTTTGGCCCCACCTTGTTTGAGTTATGTACTCTGAGAGGACATCTAGTCTTCCCTCTTTCTCTTGATGTTAGTCTCTACAGCAGCTTGCTTGCTGCCACAGAAAGATTTGCTTTTCATGGAATTTTAACTCTGTCCCAGCCAAAACCAGGACACATGGCTTCCTGGTGCTTGATGGCACTCCTGCTTGAAGGTTTGGACAGCAAGTGTTAAAGTTACTGGTTTATCTTATTAAAAGCTTGAGAAAGAGCACTGGCTATCTATTATTTTTTTTTATTTTGTGTATTTATTTGTTTATTTCATTTATATTATTATTATAATGGCCTATCCAATATTGGTCATTATCTAAAGCTTATGCAGAGGTTATGGGTAAGCAGAGGTCAGTTTGCTCTCAAATTGGTGTTACGCAGCGTAGTTTGCATGCCTTTTGCACTTTAGGTGAATTTAGATGGCTTTACTGGCTCCTTAACTGAAAATCTATAATTACATATAACTGGAGACTTCACATTTACTCCTTTCCTGATCTGCAGTTCCCACTCATGAGGTTCTCTGTCTACCAGAGTTTGAACAGTTTTTAAAAGCAAGTTAAAACTCTTGGTCCCCCTGTGAAAGCAATTAATGAGCTATGCTGACTTTGAGGGAGCTTGCTTTGGTAATTAGAGACTGAAAAGAGGTTTTCCTATCTGCTTATGGACTCTCAGCTAACTTCTGCTTTTCCTTGCTGTTAGAAAGTGCTGAACCCTGCTCAAAACCATGGTTATGCAGTTGGTGTAACAATCTAATATTTCTTGGACTTTTTTCTGGACTTAGCCACAGGAGTTAAAATCTGTGGTTGGTATTTTCAGGAAACTAGAACTGGAAATAATTTGTAGGTTTAGTAGGATAAACAATGAAATGGCAAAAGAGGAAGTGTTCATGTTTAAGTTTGTATCTTAGTGCTGACCAAGTGAAAGGTTGAGGTTAATTTAAGAGCTTAATGTGTATCTTGGGCAAACTGAAATACTGAATATTAAGCTTGTTTGTTCCTCTTTCCCTGGAGCCTTGGAAGCAGAAAATCATAGAATCATAGAGTCATAGAATAATTAGGGTTGAAAAGGACCTTAAGATCACCTAGTTCCAGCCCCCTTGCCGTGGGCAGGGACACCTTACGCTAAATCATATCACCCAAGGCCTCGTCCAACCTGGTCTTGAACACTGCCAGGGATGGAGCATTCACGACCTCCCTGGGCAGCCTATTGTACCTTGGATTCCTGTTTGTGCTAAAACTCCTGATGCATTGAGCTCCATAGCTTTTGTCTAAAATATTTTTGGATCTTGGTTATATTTTTTCACTGCTCACTGCTATGACCTTTGCATCTCTTCGTTTGCAGGTTTTATGGCAGGAATTCTTCTTATGTCCATGGAGGACTGGATGCCAGTGGGAAACCGCAAGAAGCAGTGTATGGTCAAGCTGTGCGTATCAAAATCAGTCCTGTAGTCCTCATCCATGTTCAGAACTTGTATAAATCAGTCTTATTCTTTACCAATTACTTTGACTTTCTTATCTGGTAAATACTGTATTGTGACACTGCTCCCTATGCAGAGGCAGATAGGAATTTGTTGGCTTGAATGATTTTTTTTTTTCTGTTTGATTGTTGCTGCTTTTCCTGTGGGTTGTGTTTGATTCATCAGCTTTGCATCTGGACTGCAGAAAGTAGGATAGGAAGCAAAATCAAGAGGACCTGTTAGACTTGTCCTGTTGATGCATCTTATTTCAGTTAGACTTGGGAAGGGGACTTTGTGAGTTAAATGGAATTCTGTATGTTACCAAATTCTTCCTTAAGCGGAGTTTTCTTACAGTGGAAGGTAACTTTTGAAGAAATGAGGAAGTAAGTAAGGAAACACAAGTTTTCACTTTGGTTATAGCTCTTTATCAGAATAATGCTGTCACCTCAAAGCACCTGCTCACATGGTAGCCACACCTTTGAGCAATGTGGCTCTTAGCTCAGGGCACATTTGGTTTCTTCTCCTTTCATCGGCAGAGCCTGATTTGGCACCACAAAAATCTTGGTGGTACGGATGTTACCCCCTCCTGTGACATTTGGATGCTTTGTGGATGTGTAGAGAGTTGGGTTCTTTTGTTTGGAGGGTAGTGTGGAAGCTTTTTTAACCACAGTGTAAATGCTGTCCTCTCACAAGCCCTTTAAAAAAATGAAAGCCTTAAAATAGGTCGCATGTTCTAACATGGCTGGAAAAATGGGATAGCAGGTTGTACGCTGTTGTGAAGTGCTTGAATCATAGAATGATTTGCATTGGAAAGAGCCTTAAGATGATGTAGTTCCAACCTCCTGTCATGGGCAGGGACATCTCACACTCTAGACCATGTCACCCAAGGTTCAACCTAGCCTTGAACACTGCCAGGGATGGAGCATTCACCACTTCTTGAGCAACCTGTGCCAGTGCCTCAACTTCAGACTAAAAGTTAGATGAGCTCAGGTAGACTGTTCTCAGGAACCAAGACAGTTCTTGGTTCCTATACTTCCCGGTGGGGTGCTTTTTTATGTTAGTTCAGACTTGGGTATTGAAAAGATCTAAAGTTCTGTACAAAACCAAGTGTGGCTAAACTGTAGCTCTTTATTTCTAGGAGATCCACAAGAAGGTGATGTCATTACAGTTCAGTGAATGCCACACCAAGATCCGTCATGTGGATGCTCATGCTACTCTGAGTGATGGAGTGGTTGTGCAAGTCATGGGAGAGCTGTCGAACAATGGGCAGCCCATGAGGAAGTTCATGCAGACTTTTGTGCTTGCTCCAGAAGTAAGTATTTGTAAGATTGTGTTTCCTTTCAAATAGTGATGATGGAAACCTGACCTGTAGCTACAGTTTGTCATAGTGGGGCAAAAGAATATCTGGCTCTTAGAGCTTGGCCTGGAGGCTATCATTAAATGTGTCACAGTGCAGAGGAACAAGTTTGTTGGATCCATCCTGAGCTTTTTTATTTTCTTAGACTTAGAAGTGTTGGAGCAGTAATACAAAGCAAATTGGAGCTTGCATCTGGGAGCTGCTTTGGCACAGATCAATAAAACGTACTGTTCATCTCTGCAGATCAAGTCTCTAGTGTAGTTCTGTACTTCGTTCAAGTCTGTTGGCAGATGTGAGTGTGGGTTGATGCTGCACAAGCTACTGCTGGGATTGAGCTCTTAGTGAGAGCAGAGTAAGGCTAAAGGGCGTTTTGTATTCTTTCTACTCTTTTCCTGCACTGCCTCAAAAACTATGGTGTTGTTGGTGATTAATATTTCAGTTTTGTTCAATTTCTTTGTTGTTACCCTGTGCAGTGCTGTAAGTGTACAGTCACCTGCTGAAGATTGTCTGTTTTTGTAATAGGAAAAATTCAAATTTCTTACTGAAACTGAGGGACTTTATGTTTATTTAGAATCTATGATTACTGTGACTTAGAAAAATTGGGAAGTTCTTGCTGCTTGAAACTTCCTCTTTCAATTGGGCAGAAGTTACTGCTCAATTGTAGAGAAGTGGTACTCTTTGGAAAATAGCTTTAGTGAAATAATCCTAGGTCAGATTGTTGGTGTGTACCACGCAGAGCTTCTCTCTCTGAGCCATCTTTGTTGTTGATGGCCAATATACTGTATATGCAAAAAAAAAAAAAAAAGAAAAAAAAGCATGTTGCTCTTTTACAGGGCTCTGTTCCAAACAAGTTCTATGTCCATAATGATATCTTCAGATATGAAGATGAAGTATTTGGGGATTCAGAAGGAGAACTTGACGAAGGTGAGAACTGTATGTGTAGCTCATTCTTGTTCTTCTACCAGTGCTTTCAGAAATGTCTAGAGGTACAAAGATGTGAGCTGTGTGTCTTTCTGATGTGTGGGAATAATTTGGGAGGTAGAGTATAGGTTGTGGTGCTGAAACTACTTGCTGGTCCAAATGTTCTTTGAAAGGAAGATTGTGCAGTAGTACCTTATTCCTTGAAGGGCTGAACTGGCTCAGGGTGGATGGTGCTTGGCAAAAAATGGAAATAATGAGCAATATTACTTCTGCTGCCACTGGTTTTGTCAGGTAGACTTGATTTCTTGGATCAGTTTAATTTTTAGATGAAGTAATTTGAAGAAGAAGTCAAATTGGCTTTTCAAATATGACTTGTAGTTTACTTTCATATCATCATCACATTCAGTAATTAATTTCTTTTGAGGGGGACTGAACTTGACCTGGGTGTCTTTTCCCCTCTGTTGATTGGGACAAAGCAAATCTAAGTATGTATGTACATGTGTTCACTGGATAATTTCTAGGGTTTTTTATGAGACAAAGCAAATTCGAGTATGTACATACATGTGTTCACTGGATAATTTCTGGGTTTTTTTCATCATGGTTCTGTGGAACAGAGCGTCTAGGCACCTGTATTTGAAGTTAATTTTCTTAGTCTGATGTACTGAGATTTTTATGAGCTGAAAGTGCAATCTTTCCTGTTTACTGCTATGATATGAAAAGTATCTGACCCATGAGCATTCCTCCCAGACTTTCCTATCAGCAGTATGTTTCTAGTTTCTCTTTTTTTTTTTTTTTTTTTTTGGAAAATAGTAAGAAACAAAGATTGTTGAACGAGTGGAAGTGTCTTTTAGCTTTCCTTGCAGCTAATTTTGCCTTATTTTTGTTGGTGAAGCATTATTTTGATCCCTACTACTTTAATATGCTTTTATTTTTAGTGCAGTTTGTGTGAACTTGCAGACATTTTTAAAGAAGTTTTTGTTTTTGTATCAGAGTCTGAGGAAGAGGTGGAAGAGGAGCAGGAGGAAAGACAACCATCACCTGAACCTGTGCAAGAGAATACAAGCAGTACTTACTATGAAAACCATGCTGTAACGTAAGAAGTCCCTTTTATTGTATGAAGTTGCTTTCTTTAATGAAAGCAGCAGAATTGCTTTGGTTTTGGATTCTGGATGTGATATAACAGGTAGTTTTGGAAACGACTACACTTGATACTGGTCTATGTTGTATTATTTTGAAACATTGCTTCTTGAATGGAGAGAGAAAGTGAGGGATGCTCTTATGCTCTTGTTATTTTCACTTCTAGTTTCAAATGTGAGGCAAAAAGGTAGCAACCCTTAATGAAGTCTTTGTTAATTTGTCACATAAATTTACATCAGTTAGGTTATACAGTGTAATTTATGTGAACAGATGGGTTAATAAAAGAGTGGTTAATTATACCTTCTCAAATTTGGGTACCACTTGGAACTGAGAGGAGGGTCTACTTTTTGAGAAATAAAAATATATTTATTATGTAACTAGATGATGTCTGTTAAGTGCATCACTGACAACCCTAAATGCTGTTCACACAATGCTTCTGATGAGAAATCTGATGAGAAACCCTAATGATGAGGGGTGTCTGCAGGAATTCTGTCAGTGACTTGTTCAAGATAATGCAGGAAGTTTTAGATAAAAGCATAAAGTCTTGGTTTTGGGTTACTGTGCCAATCAGAATGAAGTCGTAAAGGCAGCATTGATTAGATAGTCACCTGTGGCAGGAGCTACATAGGCAGAAGTGTCTGAAATTTTGTAAGCTTTTGGGGTGTCTGAAGAGAGGACTGAAGAACATCAGTTCCCTTACATTTCACTCAGTGTAGAGAAGTTCTGTGTGAGTTTTGGTAAACAAGACTCACAACTTCTTTGGCAAGGAACTTGTATAGCAGTTTTGTAAATAACTTGTGTGTTTCGTTCAAAAATTGACTTCATTTATGCATGTAGCTTAATTTTCCGTTGGTCTCTTACTGTGCTCCTGTTCCTTTAGGAGCATTCCTTTATTCCTGTTCCTTTCCTGTTGCTTATGTGTTTTACATGTCTGTGTGATTTTCAGATTCTCTGCAGAGAATTGTAAACCATGTCTTTGCTTCATCAGGAGTAAAAACTGGCTTTGTATGCAACTGCATGAGTACAGCTTAACTTATCATAGTATCATACATGTAGGTACATATGATAGCAACTGGAAATGGAGTGATCTTTCTGATACCAATCATTACCCATAGCATAGCTTATAAGAGGTCATAAAGTACAAAGCAAGTGATAAGCTGCATAACATGCGCTTGATTATTGTAGCAATGGGATAGAGGAGGCACTAGAAGAATCCTCTCATGAGCCTGAGCCAGAATTGGAGTCTGAAACGAAAACTGAGGAGCCGAAAGGTGAAGCAGAAGAAAAGACCCTTGAGGAGCTAGAAGAGAAGTCTCCATCTCCACCTCCCGTAGAACCTGTTTCACTCCCACAAGAGCCACCAAAGGTTAGTTCAAAGTTGTAGCTGTGCTTCTAGGTGCAGATGGTAAACCAAAAGATTTGGGTTTGACCTTAGCCTTTTTGAGTGGCCAAACCACTGCCTTGTTCAGTGTTATGCTGTATGAACAGCTAGACTTGAACCTTGAACTTGTAAAGATGCCAGGTTTCACTAAAAATGGTTTTGAGTTCTGCTCAAGTCAGCTATTGTAAATTTAATGCTCTGCTTGTAAAGTGTATGTGTTGTGGTTTATGCACATGTAAACCTTTTTAAATGTGGAGCTAATATATGCTAGGGAAACACCTCAAGCTGCCATCAAGAAAAGTCGCTTACAATGGGAACCACTGCTCTTCCTTGGAAAAAAAAGTAATGCATTGACACTTGCCAAACTGCTGGCAGTATGGTCCACAATCAGGATGGGGGCATCGACTGTCTCCTTCAGATACGATGCCTAATCTTAAAAACCACTGTGTGCGTCACCTGATATGGTGACACCTACGGTTGTTTGAAAGAGATGGGAGGAACCGGTGAAAGCTGGACAGAGGTCCGTTTGTAGCTCCATGTTTATTTTTTTCCCAATCCTTTTTCTCTTTTCTGTTTTTAAAGTTCTGGTATCCACTTTCTTTCTCTGTGCAGAAGACACTGAACACTGGAGGGTTTTCAGTCCTAGGTTTGGTTATATCATGGAAAGCAGTGATCTGGGGATGCTGAGGGAACTGGGCTCGCTCACATATCAATAGTGGGCATGGTACACACTTGCTCCACGCCACTGGAGTCCACAGACAACTAGAACTGCAAATCCTTCTCTGTTCTTTGTTGTACTGCTTGCAGAAAAATTATTTAACAGTCAGATATGAACCGAAAGTGTGTTTTCGGCAGACGAGTTTCCCTGTAGGAATGTCAGTGGTTTGCCATGATTAGTAGCCTAGGTTTGTTGCATTTCCTGCAGGCTTTCTCTTGGGCTTCAGTGACCAGTAAAAACCTGCCTCCTAGTGGTACTGTTTCTTCCTCTGGAATTCCACCCCATGTTAAAGCACCAGTCTCGCAGGTAATCCATCTGTGAACACCTTGGATTGTCTCATTACTTCTGCAGACTGCTTCAGTTGTGTAAATTAACAGACCAATTTGTTTGACTTAAATTGCACAAATTAATTGTGTCTTTAATGTTAATGCACTCACCTTCTTGTCGCAAGCAAAGGCACATACATATAACAGGTGTAACTTTGGGTGATGGTGACCTTAAAATCTGTTCATATGGAGCCAGGAAATCGCTACTGACATTTTTGTGACCTATCTTAATGGGATATGGTTTTGTTTACGGGGAAAACAAAACTAAACAAAAAACTCGCCACAAAATGGCTGTTTTCTAATACGTGCTTGAAAGGGGTATTTCATTGGCTGAGGTGCCCCTGCATTAAAAGGGATAGCACTGTTTCTGGTAAGGTGCAAGATTGCCTTGTAAGGCTAACGTCTATGGAAATATACTGGATTTCATTATCCATCCGTAATTAACTTGCCACAGAACCCTGTACCAACTTATGACTGTGTGAGGAATGGAAGGATTCACATTTCCTTGCCAGGACAATGCCATCTTCCCATTCCTGGGTTGACTGGGTGAGAAGGGGAAAGAGGAAGGAAAGTTAGACTGGGTTATAGCTCATGTCCTGCACATGCCAAGCCAGTGTGAGACAGTCTGAGACTCTCAATTCAGCTTTCTCCCTCTATATAACCCCCCTGAAAATGTGTGCTTTAAGCTCTTCTATTGATGCTGTGTACCAAAGTACTCTATGTTGTAGTAGCTCATGTCCAGCCTTCTTAAAGGACTGCAGTTTTCAGTAGAGCAGCTGGATTATTGCAGCTGTTGATATTGCATTGGTTTCTTCTCAACTGACTTACTGACAGAGAGGAACCTGTCTAGGATTGTCCTTCAGCCAAATGCATGTTGAAAAAGAAAACACAGAAAAACAACACCTTGTATGGTGTTGCTTCTGGTCTGAGGGGCTGTCATGGGAATGAGATAATGGCTGCGTAATGAGTTGGGAAGCCTGTCTGTCTTCAGCAGCTTCACCAGGGCTTTGAGCATTTTAGGTAGTATTTGAGCCATTAAAAAAAAATGTGTTTTTTCTAGAACAGAATAGATTTTCCTTATGCAAACCCCAGATTAGTTTTGACTTATTTGCTGTAGGGATGGTGGATTTTTTGCGGAAGTCATTTCATATTGTCTGTACAAGAGAGCAGAATATAGCTTTTAAATTTCCCTTTAACCTCTTTTGCATTGCCTCTGCAGCTAGTGATGCTTTCTGCCTTTTAGATTACTTGTGTTGTGACTTTATGAATTAAGTAATTGTGTGGGAAAGTTTCTGAACAATACTGAAATGGCACGAATTTCAACTCGCAGCTCTTCTGGATACAGAACCAGTTAGTTCTTGGTTCTTTTTCTTGCATGCTTTTCAGACATAGTACATAGAAAGCAGGTAAAAAAGGCACCGGAACAATTTCTGCCAGGAGTTAGAGATCAGTAGCAGCTTTTTTCTGTTGTCTTAATGCCAGATACTCTGCAGGTAAACAAGGACTAGATTGCATTGGTGGGTGGGTGGCTCCTTTGGAATGTTGTTCTAGCATCATCTAGCGATGTTGCAGCTGTAACTAGTGATGCAGCAGTTAACTGTCCTTCTCTGCATCACTCCAGCTTTTCCCCCATCTTTTAGCAAGTTAAAAATATAGCTTCTGTAGTGTTAACTCAGAACCCCTCCAAGGACTGCACACATACTGTTTTGGATATAAACCAGGTCAGTTCCTGTTGATGGACAGCTGTGGAGTTAAACAGGTTAGTATTTCTTGCCATTTTTCTTATTGTGGGTGATGAGAAGTCACCCTGCCTACACTGATAAATCAGGCCCTCTTTTTATAGCATCTTCAGATCTTCTGACCTGCCATTTGAATGAACACTTCAGCTGTCTAGGGGTGCCGCAGGGACAGAGGTAGGCAGCCCCGACTCTGGTCTGCTCTCTCAGAAGTGGTGCATTCAGGAAAAAAAAGAGCTATTTATAGCATTCTCTTACCACCTCAGATCTGCTTGGACTCTGGATACACTCTTCCATACCATGTAGTGCTTTTGTGGAGGTGATTGACGAGTGTCTTTAGTAAGTTGTGTGATCTACATTTACCTCAGAAACAGTGTGGGGGCTATCTGAGTTATGCATCTGACCTAGCTACTGGAATTACGGCGAGATGATGTGGGGTTTTCTCTTGTGTTTTCATTTGAAGTGGGGTTTCTTGCTGTTTGCTTGGCTAGTTGTTTCTTGGCATGTGTTTTGATTGTGGCAGGCATCTCTAGAGAAGATTTTAAGCCTTGTGAGATTTCAAAAGTGGAATTGTACCAGCCCTTGAAGGCACCTCTTCTCTTTCTTTTTCTGTCCCATCCTCTGTTTTGGGGGGGGGCATTCAGTTCCAAAGTTGGTGGAGTAAAGGCTGACTTGTGGCTAGTTTTGCTGCCATTGCCAGTAGCATTGCAGTAGCAGAAAAAGGTCCTTTTCCTACCCCATGTGAGCTCCTGAAGAGGAGAGACAATGTCACCTTTTGTTTAATTGTTCCCAAAGCCCTGTTATGCTGATGTTTGTGACATACTTGGCTCCTTTAGTGTCTGTTGAAATCCTTATTCTGTGCCTCTCAGTCCACTTTGTGTGCTCCCTGTGAAATGAGAGTTGCAACTAGAGAAAAGATCGGTGAGTAGAAGATGGCAGGGGAGCTCCAGTGACCTGTGATGAGGCACAGTAAAAGGGATTTAACAGCAAGGCTGATTTTTTCAGCCTTATTCTTGGAGTTGAAAAAATGATCCTAGAAAGGGTGGAAGGACAAGCAGAGTAGAGTATAAGTGATAGAAGGGCTGAAACTTTTGTTGTGTGCATAATACCTTCATGTTTCATGTAAATTACAGTCTTGTACCCCTGTGAGGTACTCTGGCAGGAACCATCAGTTGTCTTGAGCTCTTAAACGAAAATAAGGGAGATGTTTAACATCAGCTGCTTCTCCACAGCAGTCTGGGCCTATAGCCATTATCCTTGTGTTTAATCTTCCTTGGAGGCTAGTGTTCTTCTTTGTGTTCCTAAGGATCATTTTCTTTTTCTAAAATAAGAACCCAGCACAGCAGCAGCTGCTGGACCGCTGTACTGAAAATGGAATTCAAAAAATGTTGGAAGTTGCTTTGGTAACCAACAGGCTACACTGTTCTGTCCCTTTTTCTCAAATTATCTTTAAAAGCATTCTTTTGCTTGCAGAAAATGGAATAGGTGTTCTAGTTCCTAAGAACATGAAGGGTGTACTTTGAGCATCATGTCCTTGACATCAGGGAAGTTGAGGAATATCCTCAGCAGGTAGCCTGAAGAAATTGCTGTTTCAGATGGCTTTATTGTATCAGAAATACTTACTACGCTCTGAGGGCTTTTGGTTTGTTCTCTTTCTTGTTTTGGTGTTTTCCTTACAGTTGTTCTGCACTTGAGGAAAAGAATCCCCCAGGGACTCAGACTCACTCAAAATGTCATTTGCCCAGCTCTTTGTGTTCATCTCAGACTACCTTCTAATCTATGAAGTTTGAGCTTGGCATGAGGAATTTTATTTCATCTATGTGGGATTTTTAGTCTGAATAACAAAGTGTTGCAGTCTCAGTGCCTGGTCAAACATGGACAGTTCACCTTAGCCATGTTCTGGGCAGCCACTCTGATGAAGAGATGTTTGTTTTGCACCTTTTAGCAGCGATAACTCAACACTGCAGTCCTGGATTGGTACAGAGGAATTTATAGAGGTGGAAAAAAATGTATTCCCAAACACACTGACATGCGTGTATATCTTCTGGAGTTAATTTTGTGCATGCCACTTATGTATCTTGGGGGGGGGGGGGGGGGGGGGGGGGAGAGGGAGCTTGTTTTGGTGGGTTTTGAAGGTTTTTATTGGGCTGGTGTTTAATAGTGCCTGTTTTTGTCCTGTTTTAGCCAAGAGTTGAAACAAAACCTGAAGCTCAGTCTCAGCCTCCTCGTGCCCGTGAACAGCGTCCCAGGGAAAGACCTGGTTTTCCACCCCGAGGACCTCGACCAGGTAATGTAGACCAGCTTCTGTGTCTGCTTGGGACTAGTTACTTACAAGGAGAGGTGGACTAGTTACTTACAAGGAGAGGTGCCTCCTTGATGGGTCTTGTATATACCTATGTCATATTTGGCTGATAACTGTCTGTTCCTTCTGCCTTCAACTAGAAATGGGGCAGTATGATTTGGAGTCCTGGCTGGTGATGACCTGTTGCAAAGATCAGACATAATTTCCAATCTTCTGCTTTTTTTTTTTGTTAGTCAGGCCATTCGCTTCTCTGCTTAAGCATTTTTTTGTGCAGCTTGGTGTAGTTCTGAAAAGCTGGAATGGAAATACGATTTTTTTTTCCATGTCTTCTAGTTTTGCTGAACCTTGCAAGTGAGAGCTCTTAAACATCTCCTGTTGTTCTTTGTTTTGGAAGCAAATCTTCCCACTGTGTCAGCCTCAGTCAGTTAGTAATTTTATACGTATTTTTCCATCTTTTTTTAGTTGTCTAAAATGCCATTCTCAGCTTGGCTGCCTTGTGTTTGTCCTTGTTTGTGAGCAGCCAGCTCTCTGTGTTTTCTTACTCATATGGAGTATCCATATTTGTAGGAGGTTCTGGCTAGAAAACATGCAGGTTCCTTGACAGTCATCAGCAGTGGTGTTGAGAGTTCTGGAAGCCTTCTGGGTTGTGTTTGTCAGTGCAGCCCGGTCACTTGACAAACTCTGGGCAAAAGCTGTCCAGCCAAAGGCCCAGAGTTGCAAGACATTGATGAGTTCATAGTTTTCTCTAAGTATGAAAATCCATCCCCAAGTTCTAAGGGAAGGGATAGCATCTGCAGTTATCCTGATGTGGCTCTGCCAGCTTGAAGTGCTTAAGTCTCAGTGACTGTGTCTCTTCCAGGTCTTGCTAAAACTGATTCTAGTGGAGGTGTTCAGTAAGTGCATACCAGACTGTGGTACAGATCGGGGTTACGAGTGCTTTTCGCTTGAGTCAGTGCCAAGTGTATCTTCACTCGGGGACCGCACTGAAACTGAAAAGATTAAAGGCACCAAGAAAGAACCATGGCATCTGTTACAGATCAATGTTTCATGGTTTTTTAACATGTCATCTGCAGCAGGGAGCAAAAGCTGCGACTTCGGACTAAATCAAGTTACAAGTCTGCATTTCTACTACTCTTGGATGTGATACAAGTCATACAGAAAATGTGTCGCAGAGCCTGAGTCTTTTAATTCTGGTCTGGGGAATAGCAGAAGCAGGGGAGATAAAGCTGAAATCTCAGGATACCAAGTGGTAGAACTTCAGTCCTACAACCTTGTTTTCAAACACAGTCAGGGAGCTGTTTTATCTGCTGAAAGAAATGCTGTAAATGGGCCTGTAGGGGAAACTGAGGAGAGAAAGGGGTATATACCTGTGTTGTACCGCTACAGGTGCAAAAGGAGTAACAGTGTTCTGCTCTCACACTGCAAGGCAGGTCATAATTTAGTAGGGAGATACTGGGAAAGGTTTTATCTTGCATGTTGGAAAAAAGACTCGTACTTGGGTTGAACTTGAGAGAACATGAGGGACTCTCACTTGTGTGTGGGACAACACACATGGTGGAAGATGAAAGCAGAAGAGGTGACTGGCAAACACTGTTTTTAACATGAGTGACAAAGTAAGGAAACTTACTGCGCTGAGGAATTGATGAAGAGGTGACTTAAATCCAGATCTTTTACAAAGTACATTCCAATAGGTAGTGAGCTCCTCTACAGTATAACAATTTAAGATGGAACAAGAACCTCTTACACAAACTTGCCCAGTGTACCCAGTGTTTTAGTTAACGTGAATTTTATTGAACCTAACCAGGGAAACCAGATGAAAGGAAACAAATACTTTGTGGTATTATTACAAACTGTGTAAAGAGGAGGATAAGCTCAAGAGCTGAAGGTACAGAACTGTTTGAGCAAACGTGCTTGGTGCTGTTCATAGATGTGCTTGTCTGAATCTATGCACAACTTACAACCCTGGTGGCTCTACCTTCTTCTTCTTCCTGTTGACTTTAGGGAGAGGGGACATGGAACAGAGCGAGTCGGATAATCGTCGGATCATTCGCTATCCAGACAGTCACCAGCTCTTTGTTGGGAACTTGCCACATGATATCGATGAGAGTGAACTGAAAGAGTTCTTCATGAGTAAGTAGCAATTTCAGCTGCAGAGACTAAGCAGAAAAACTGTGTTGAGAAGCCACGTAATGTTCACTTAGGGCCAGACGGAGAACTTCTACATGCTGTGACACTGCAAGTGTTGTTTAGAACAAATGCAGGGGTGGTAGAGCTGGCACTGTGGGTTTTGATATTGTGACTTTTCCTTGTGTCTTCCCAGGCTTTGGAAATGTGGTAGAACTTCGCATCAATACTAAAGGAGTGGGAGGAAAACTGCCCAATTTTGGTTTTGTGGTATTTGATGATTCTGAGCCGGTCCAGCGAATTTTAGTTGCAAAAGTAAGTATCGGCATTGAGTAACCTCCAAAGGATGGACTGAGTGTCCTGAACCCCAAATGGTGTGGGCTGTCCAGTTTGCCTTGCTGTTGTTTGTGGCATTCAGACAGTTGTAAGACAAACATAGTTCTGGCATAGTCATTCTGTCAGGAGCAATCTGGAGCTTACAATAGCATTCTTCAAACCACATCAGACCTCGCACAGAGACACCACGTGGAGCTCAGCACTCTCAGAGATCTTTTTAAGCTGAAAGCTGAGTATGTAACCTTTTGAAGGGCAGCCCATGGAGCTCTGAATTCTGCATCCTGGGGCTGAGGAAGAGGAGCAGGGTGATTTGTGGTTGTGACTTGAGAAACTGGAGAGGAGAAAGCAGCGGTGTGCATTTCTAGAATGTGGAACCAAGGCTTGGCTGAATAATTCTTCAGGAGCTTTAGCCCTGAGGTGAATAAGCTGAAGTGGGCAGTAAAGAGGCTAAAGATGTCCCTGCCCTTACTGGAGGAAGACAGTTAATTCTTTGCATGTCAAATGAATTTAGAAATGTCGTCCCCTTTACTGTAGACCACTGGGGCTAAGGTTGTGTGGTGCAGGGAACAAATTGGTTTCTTTTGCATGTAAATGAAGGTAGGCTGAGAACACAGTGTTTTCATATGCCTTGTGTAAGCAGCCTCTGTGGAATGGAGACTAATGGTGTGCCTTGACCACTTTTCCCTATAAGCCTATTATGTTCCGGGGTGAGGTGCGCTTGAACGTAGAAGAGAAAAAAACAAGAGCTGCTCGTGAGCGAGAGACCCGAGGAGGCGATGACCGTAGGGATATTCGGCGCAATGATAGAGGTCCTGGGGGCCCCCGTGGAATAGTGGGTGGTGGCATGATGCGAGACCGTGATGGAAGAGGACCCCCTCCGAGAGGCGGCATGGTGCAGAAGCTCGGCTCTGGACGAGGCACAGGGCAAATGGAAGGCCGCTTCACTGGACAGCGTCGCTGAGCCCTCCACTGTGGGCAGTCTGTCTTGGAAGTGGTACATTATCCATCGTGTTTGCATTCTTGTTAATTTTTTTTTTTTTTTTGGCTTTGGAATGTGACACAGCCCGTCTGGTCATTTCTTTGATGTGAAAGCATCCTTTGGTTTCCAGTTTAAATTGAGGTGGACGTTCTTTCCCCAGTTTCACAACAGGAGTCATGCTGTTAATTTATAAATGTAGACTTGGAGAATTGAGGACTGGAAAAAAGAAAAAAAAAAAAAAGAAAAAGACTGGTTAACTATCTGCAACAAAAGTGAACTAAAGGACATGCCCACTAGAATCCAGGTCCTTTCAGTCCAAAACCCTCTACTGCACATTTTGTGTAAGTGTTCCTGTTTCTGCCTATTACTGTTGGAAACACAAGTAGTGCAATCTGTGCAATTGGAGAAGCTTGCCTTTTTTTCTTTTTTTTTTTTTTTTTTTTTGTCTTTCTTAGAACACTTGGCTCCAAACAAACTCGTGTTTACACACTCATCCAAATGCACTAATGGGTACTCTGGACTCATTTATACTGACAGCTGCAGGAGGCATCGGAGGGAAAGACCTTCATCCTCTTTCTCAGACAGAATAGCTTGGGAAACAATGCGGGCATCTGATCTGTTTGCTGTGACCAACATATGTACACACACAAACCTTAATAAGACTATGAGTTTATTCCAGAAGGAATCCATTTAGCTGTAAACTAAGCAGAACCCTGAGTTTCAAAGTCATAGCCCTGAGTACACAGCAGGTTTGATAGCTCATGTCCGATTTTTCTACCTGCCCCTCTTCAGTACCGGGATGGCTGCTCAACACACTCCTTCCCCTCGCCCCTTCGATACGCATTGTACAGTGAAATTTGTCTTGACTGTATTTGAGTTCTCTGGTAATGTAATAAGCATGATGGTGCCTTCTCTGAATACATCATTCCAGTCTTGCTGGTGATTTTGTACAGTATAGTGTATGAATTACTGTGCTACAAAGCCAATCGGCTGCAAAGCATTTAAAGGAAGTTGTGGAAAAATTGTATTAAAAAAACCCAATTGCAGTATCTTTCAATCAGTAAACGTTGATGAAATGATCATCCACCTTGCTTGTCACTTCACAAGTTCGCCTGTTTTTTTGCAGAGGGGGGAAGGGAGGAAGAAGGCATCAAGCAGTGTCCAGGTTGCCTCTTAAACAGTTACAGAAAATGGAGTTGACATCTCCCTTGGACACACATTTCAAAAGTCAGTCAGGAATGGCGGATGCTTTTGGCCAGCTCAGAATGGGTAGAACTGAGCATCTTTGTTGAGGGTGAGCTTATCAAATGAGGATACTGCAATTTCCCAAGAACCAAACAGCAGCTCTTAAGCTTTTGCATTTTCCAGTTGCACTTTCTTAAAAACTCTTAACTCATTTTGCACATAACTCTCAGATGAAGTTGGCACTCATGTGACTCTGGACAGAAGGCTTGGAAGGGGACACCCTCTCATGCAGCTTACTGGTGGGTTTCCAGTGCAGAGGTCTGCTTCCAGATGACATTCTGGAGCGCGTTCCGAGGGGGGGTGCAAAACTGTAAAGCTGCTGCTGCTGGGCATGGAAGACCTCCCTCCCATCAGCCAACTGCCATGTTAAGCAGGAACGTAGGGCAGCACAGCAGCCTGGTTTTGTTATTATGCAGTCAGCTGCTGGTTTCACTTAAGTTGGAAGATGTTGCACATATTTCTCTGAGGCATTAGACCAAGTGAAGCAGCATCTGTGTTTTCTCCCAGACACAAGGTCTTCTGTGTTCAGTGGTAAGTCTTGCACTGTTTTCATACACTTTTTTCCCCTGGGCACATTTCTAACAGTTTCCATGTCCGTATTACAGTTTTCTGTTGAAGGTCTCACATTTTTAGTTGTTACCTGGAGGTCTGTGGTACTTGAACCACTCACCACACACAACCTGCCACCCTATAGGTTTGAAGCCTTTGGACAAACTGCTGCACTCAGCAGTTTGCTACCGGTGTCTTTCATGTAGCTTTTGTTTTTTCCCCTTTTGTAGTGCTGTGGTGTTTTGCTGCCACCTCATTCATTTGGATGGCAATTGGGAATAATCTCGACAACAAAAACTGGAGTATTAAAAAGAGCTACTGAGCCATCCTACTTTCTGGCTTGCTCCTTGTGAGTAAATGACATGGGCAAGTGTTGGAACGTCGTCAAGAGAAGTTTACACGGTGATAGCTCACCTGCTGTACTGTGGACTCTTGGTGTTCTTGACCCTCTTGGTAGTCAGTGTACCTCTTAGAGCAAAGGAAGGGACTCACTGACGTTTACTGTTAGTTGCTGATTCGTGGATGGTGGGAGTATTTTGTCTTTATGGTTCTATTTCAACCAACCCGGCTGACCATCTTGGCTTTACTAGGCATACAAGACAGTGGATTACCATCTTCATTGCTGTAGCGTGTCAAGCAGTATATGCTAGTAGATTCTAGTTTAATTGTTGCAGGTGGAAAGTATTTTTACTTTAAGTTTACATTCTGAATGTGTTTTGACTAAACATACCAATAAACTACTGATGTCTGCAGCATTTATCCATGTTCCTAATTCTCTTGAATATAAGTGGCTTTAGAGCACAGTGCCTCTCTTGCTAGATGTGCTTTTTTAAGAACCTGGTTGCTGACTTGTCAGATGGTGGTTGTGTCACATCCTGCATTTGAAGTGTTAGCTTGGTCAAGCTGATAAGCTCTGCTTTGCTGTGGCTGCAGGAACTCCTTGCCTGGGGTGCTGGCTGAGGGAAACACAGAGGTCAGAACCCTGCCAGTGGTTTGGCTCACAGCAGGGTGCCCGCTCCAGGGAGGAACATGAGCTCCTCTCGGACTTGTCCTGGGTAGCACTCCCCCTGGTAATATTCCTGCCTGTCAGCAGGGACACAGCTTGAACAGATGCTGTAGTGGTGCTGGGAGGAGTATGAGCCAAGCTGCCTTAGGAAATCTACTCCTGGAGTTGCCTGCTCTCCACTTGAGTGTTGCTTACTCTTGGTTCAGTTTACTCCAATGTAATCCCTGGGTTTAGCTCCTTGTGTTTGGGGGCATTGCCAGTGCCACTGTTTACCCAGAAAAGCTGTTAAAAGGCCTGCTCTTGCACGGCTTGTAGATAAATTGTGTCTGAGTCATGGGATCTGTGTGGGGCTGTACTGCTCTGGGTAAAGTTCTGGTAGCTGAAGTCCTCTGCTGAGCGCCTGTCTTGGCTGTAACTCTCTGCTGAATGACCGTGGGGAGGTGTCTGAGAGGTTGCATAGTTGCATGTTGAAACACTGAAAGGAAAAACAAGGTTCTGTAGAAGAGCCATAAACCCAAGTACCCAGAATTCCCCTGAGGAGCAGCATCAGCAGCTGTGGATCTTCTGATGCCAGAGCCCCAAAGAAGCGCAATTCCCTCCGTGGTGTCTCCCAAGGGCCTGCGACATACAGGCCATCGTATTGCTTGAGGAGGTGAATTGTGAAGGCCACAGGCTCAGACTTCCCTGGGGCTGAGAAGGAGGAGGCAGGTAATGGTGTCTGGAACAAGCTAGGGTCTTCTGGGACCTGGCTCAACTTGTGCCATCAAGTCTTGGTGAGCAAAATTGTTCAAGAGCATATTTTATCAGCACGTGAGCTGTGTTTGGGCTTTGTGAGTGACAGTGCATAATGATCAGCTTCTGGCGCTGTCTCTGCAGCATGTGCTGCTCCCTCTGACGAGTGCATGTGTCTCTGTGTGTGTGCACCATGCAGGGGTACGAATTGAGAACAGCTTTTGCAGGTGCCAACACAAGGCTCCTCCAGGCAGTCTTATTTCTGTGCTGTTTGAAAGGCAGTTTCCCATATCCGTGAAACTCGTGAGTCCCCGTCAGAGGTAAGGTGCAGGAGTTAGACCCAGGGTCAGCAGAACAAGGCATCAGGTGCTGATGGGTTTCATGACCTCCACAGCATGGCTGGGCCCTGAGGGCAGCATGTTGGCACCACAGTAGGAGGTGTTGTGTCAGCCCTTGGTTGATGTGACCTGCCAGCAGCAGGCATGGAGCTGGTGTGCTCTGCTGGGAGTGCAGGTGAGGGCAGGAGGGGTACTGGGGCATCACTTTGGGATACAAAGTAGGGGACTCTTTGGGTGGGAGGGATCCTGTCCCCTCTGGCTCAGCTTCTCCTAGCCAAGAGGAGACACCAGGGAGTGTTGGATCTCTTCTGCAGCACCACGGGGCCATGGCCGGTAATGTGTGGCTAAGGGTTCCCTGGGAAGTGAGGAGACCGATTGGGTTTTCCCTGACGCATCCCCTCTGCCAACCTACTCCCTGCACCTATGTGCACATGGCCCTTAGGATGGAGTATAAACAGAGCTTTCCATATTGTGGGAAGAGAAGCAGCAGACTGGGGAATGTGTCGGAGGAAGGATGTGGTGTGGGCAGCAGCGGGCACCACCCAAGCCTGCAACAGCACCACGAGCCCAGCCACCGGCCCATGCGAAAAAGAATAAATAAATAAAACCTGTGACTGTAAAACGTGAAGGCTCCGCTTAATGTTCCTCTGTGATAAAATGTGATGCAGAAAGTGGCACCCCTAGCGTGGGGGGAAGGTTGAGGTGCTGCTGTATGGGGACACTGTAATCGTGTATCACAGCTTGTCTGCACATGTGGGGTAGCTGAACATCAGCGCTGGGCTCCAACGAAATGAACCTCGCTTTTCCTGCTCCAAGCCGGGCCATTACCGTGCCCGGCGGATGGTGGGGTCTTTCCTCACCCGGCGTGGCCACTACCAAACCGGCGGGATGCTGGGGATGCTGGGCACGCCGTGGCTGCGGGAGGGAACGGGGCAGGGCCGAAGGGTGTGCACGGAACAGTGTAGCGCAGGAGCGCGATAAGCAATTGAGTTACCGAGCTGTGGCAGCCACAGGGCGCCGCAAAGAGGGCATGGCGGAGAAAGCGCTCGCGGAGCAGCCACCTGCAGTACCGCATGCGGACCGCGACAGGGCTCCTGCGTTATGCGGCTGTGCCTCCGCCAGGAGGCGCCATCAGTACAGTGCTACTGCTGCCAATCCCTAGAACAACCGCAAGGGGGGCGCTGCGGTGAGGAGTCCTGTGCAATGGCCGCCAGGGGGCGCGATGTGCTGCAGTGCCGCCGACAGACGGCGCTATCGCGACGGGTGTGTGGTCGGCTCTCTGCTGTCAACTCCGAGAACAACCGCCAGGGGGCGCCGCGCCGGAGGCGCTGAAGTGCTGCGCAATGACCGCCAGAGGGGGCTCCAGGGGCAGCCGTGCGC